TTTTGCCATGACACAAAATCCTTTGACAATCTCAGACAGTATATTCAAGTCATACCAAAATTTTTGGCCATTCTTTTTACATTGTTACTTCCATTTCCATAGACTAGAATATCCTATTACCCCTTTATCTGCCTAGAAACCCTTATTCATTCTTTAAGAACTATTTTGAATTGGTACCTGAGACACACACACCCCCAAAAATAACAACTCCTATTTCCATTCTCTCAATAATATTTTACTTAAACCAATATACTTATAATTCATATATGTTTAGAGCATAATTATTTTGCCCATCTTTCTCATTTAATATGAGCTTCACAAGAATAAGGACTGCTGCCCTGCCAGTGTTTCTCAGTGTTGAGGGTCAACCTATGAAACAGGAGGTCACTGTTTGACTCCCCCTCAGGACACAGGCCATGGATTCAGGCTTGCTTGATCCCCAATAGGGGGCGTGCAAGAGGCAGCTGATCAATGATTCTCTCTGATCGTGATGCTTCTCTCTCTCTCTCCCTCTCCCTTCTTCTCTGAAATCAATGAAAAAATATTTTTAATGAAAGAATAAGGACTGCATCATGGTCCCCAAAATAACCCCAGGACCTGGAACATATTAGAAGCTCAATAATGTTAAATGAATAAGTACAGACAGTCCTTGGGTTATGTCGGACTCGACGTACCGTGATTATGTCGCCATCTCCCATTTATTTATCAAAAAAAAAAAAGTTCCATCATTTCAACGTATGTACATATGTGCTTTATGTTTTTTTTATTCTGTTTTTTTTTTATTCTGGAGTGAGATCATGTGGTATTTTTCCTTCATTGACTGGCTTATTTCACTTAGCATAATGCTCTCCACCACAAGTAAAGGTCAGAATTGTTATCTTTCTTTTAAATTTGTTTACTGTTTCACTTCATTACTGCTGTGTATGTGCTCCACGTGAGTGACATAGGTGCTTAAGTAGGTGGGTTCCAACTTATGGCAAAAATCGCGTTACGTCGCGCGGTAGGAACGGATCTCCGAGGTAACCTGAAGACCTACTGTACATAGAAAAGTATAGAGGGTAAGCATGGTTGGTAACTGTCCTGCAACAGGCTGAGAAGAGCAAGAAAGGCAGGGCAAGAGATCCTATTTACTGGATATCAGAGGACGCTTGTTTCCCAGTCCAAAGACAAAGACTCATAATGATAGGGAACTCAAGAATTTAAAAATCTTAGCTTTATTTATATAGTTAATGGGCCTGGTAATTAATGCATGTAGAAAGCTATTGTTCCAGGGACTGGAATGGATGGCTGGACTTGCCCTGACTTCAGGAGGCCCGCAAGCAATTCCTCCTTTGTGCCCCAGGAGGACTGTGAGGGACCAAGACGGTATCTGAGTCATTGTGCTCCAGGGAGAGAACATCAGCTCCCCAGACACAGATAATCAACAGTCGTCAGATGAAGGGATGCTCGGAAAACCACCAGATTGCAGCTTTTATCTGATTAGTCATTTTCCCTGAATTCCAAACCCTTTACCAATTGTTTTCCTGAATTCCAAATCCTTTACCTACTTTTTTCTTCTCATAAAAAGGGTCAGCTTGAGATGAGCTGGGAGACAGGGTTTAGGGTGTATAGCACGCCATCTTCTCAGATCGCTGGCCACCTGAATAAAGCGCCAGAAGGATTCAACCTTGTCTCTACTTACTGGTTCTGTTAGTGACAGGTAGCACAAACACCGACTTTCCTGGTTTCAGTACTGAGTGATTCCCAGCCAACTCTCTGAAGCCCAATAGGTCTAGAAGTTATATAAATATCTAAGCTTTCAAAAGCTTCCAAAAATAATACCAATAACTTATTAGCATGGAGTGCTTCTTATGTATGGAGTACTGTGTTAAATGCATTGCACACAGTATGTCATTTGTTGTTCATAACAACCTTTTCAGTCAGATTGTCTATTTTTTTCCTTGTTTTACAGATGAAGAAACTGTGGTTTTAAATTACTGGCCCACGGTTATAGAGTCAATATATGGTAAAGCCATAATTTGGACCTAAATAATCTGAAACCAGAGTCCACACTCTTAAAGAGCCACTTAATGCATTAGGCTAGATTTGGAAGGTATTTTCAGATATGTATTTTTCCTTCAGGATATATTGGGTATATAATTGTCCCAAACACTTAAAGTCATCACATTGGTGTCACATGTATGTTGTGATTGTCATTTCTTAGATATGAAATTATATGTGCTTAACGCATTGAATCTGCAACAAAGTCTGGATCTTTGCTCTAACGGGGTTTAAATTCTTAATGATTATTCTGTCACTTTCCTGCCTGTAGAAATGTAAAAATATGAATTCACATATACAAGAAACTTTCATCATATTTAAATACGTGCAAACAGATACTACTATGAGATTTTTGCATTAGACCTATATAGTACAAAATGAAAAGAGTTTTAATTGTGAGTGCAGTAGAGATGTTGGTGATGGTGGCATTGTTGAATCTTTCATAAAAGGATTTTTTTTGGTGCTGAGCCCAAGGAGAATATAAGTGTTGTCTGCTAAAAGTTTGACTTCTCAAATTCAAAAATGTTACATTTAAATGCTCTTTAATTGATTATTGAAAGTCCCATGTCTATGTCAACATGGCTCAGACAAACAAAAGATTCTATTAGAACTTGTGGTTGACGGGATCAAAACTCTTGAGTCTGTCTTCCTCTTTTTATTTTTGACTAGAAGGTCAAAAATAAATTCGTGCATGGGGGGGAGGGGAGAGAGAGAAGAGGGGGAGGATCCCTACCCTCTCCAATCCAGGATCCCTCTTTCAATCTGGGACCACTGGCTCCTAACCACTCGCCTTCCTGCCTGATCACCCCTAACCACCTCTGCCTTGTCCCCCGCCACTGTGGCTTTGTCTGGAAGGACGTCAGGAAGATTTCCAGTCTAATTAACGTATTAGCCTTTTAGTAGTATAGATAAAAACAAACTAGAAGGGACATTCAAGTTTCAAGTCTCCACATTGAACTAAAAAAAAAAAAAAATAGTCATCATCAGCATATGGAGGTAACTCCAGGAGATAGAAGCCTTCCATTTGTATTCATCTACTAGTACACACATATGCACAATAGAATGCATTGTTCCAACAGAAAGAAGATTTTGTCAAAAAGTAATAAGTTATTTACTACTGTGACATTTTAAGGCTCCCACAGCCTTGCCAAAGGACAAAAACACATTTGACATGTTTCCCTATGTGGCTTTAAAAAAAATTTAAGTTCTTTTATTTATTTGTTTTTAGTGTCCAGTGCAGGAAAAGTCTTGCAAAATTTCATAGACCTAAAATGTGCGAGTTAGTTCTTCCTGTAGACAACAATGTTGGGATTCTGCTTTCCTTCCCCACCTCATCTTGCATCATCCCCCATGCCTTCCTTCTCTGTACTCAGGCACAGTGCCTTCTTCTGGTTCCCTGGGCTTACCTTCCTCCCTCCTGCCACGGGTCCTTCACACTTACTCTCGTCATGGAATGGAATGTTCCTCCCAACCCTCATACCATTCTCCCCATTTACTCCTACTTGTCCTTCAAATATCAGTTTTAAGTGCCACTTTCACACAGAAGACTTCAATGAACCACACTCCCCAACACCACCTCCACACCCACCCAGTCTAAATAGGCTTCTTTATTATATTCTATGATGGAACTGAGTTCTACCAGTAATTATCATTCATTCATGGGATTATATGATTAATGCCTTTCTCCCAACCATTTATTTAGCTTCATGAGAGCAGGGACTGACCTAGCTTTGCTCATCATTGTATGTACAGCAGCTAGAATAGTACCTCCTGCATAGCAAGTGTTTGGTGCAGTATGAATAAATTGATGAGTAAGTGAATGAATATTAATTCTGAAGCTATTTGTTTGTTGTTTATGTCACTAAAGGGTTCTATTGGGTTGTAAAAAAGCCACAGTTAGACAAGCAAGTTGTCCCAAACTGCCCTTGGGACTTATAAGTAGATCCTATTTCCTCATTCTTCTTTACAAGAGCATTTGAGCCACCTTGAGCCACTGCAAGATCAAACATATGACCAATCTACTTTGGGGGGGGGGGGGTTATTTTTGGAAAAAAATTAGTGTATTTTTTGCACCACTAAAAAAATTTATTATTTCTAGATAAGATTATACCTACTAAAAGTGGTGATTTCACTTTTAGTGTTAATGGAACTCCCCAACTTAATATAATTTCACTTTTCTTTTCCCAGCCTCAAAAACATGGCTCAGAGTTAAGGATAAAATAAATGTAATACTAAATAAAATCTAGAGGGTAAGAAGCAGTAGAAACACATATATTAGTCCAATTTAGTAGATAGTATTATTTAAATTGTTTAAATAGAGTCTGACATGTGCCACCTGATAGAAAGAATTGAGGACTTCAGAACTATTATTTTTTTAATGTCTACAAGGCCTGGGGTGTGTTTTTACATCATCCACTACTCCTTGGCCTTTTAGAGGGACTCTGACACTTTGTGTTGAGAAAGCTCTGTGAAGGCCTGGGCATTTCTAACAATAGACCACCCAGATAAGATTAAAAGCAAAATCCTATTCTCAAAGTCCTTCCATTTCATTTTCTCCTTCAGAAATAATTCCCAGCCCAATGTCAGGACTTTTCATTTTCATTCCGTTGACACAAGTCATTCTGCCTTTCATCTTTCTCTGAGAACAGTAGGCCACGCTTCTACTTTATCCACTAAAAGGTAACTCCAAGCAGGTAATTTAAAATTTTAATGGACTGATGAAACCTTTTTCTTTATCTTAAAACATAATATCAAAGGAAGCAGTACAAACTCAGTGTCATCAACAGTGACATGAGTGACAAATGCCCTTAGCCATCCACGTACTTGGGCCCTTCTGCAATTGTTCTTACTTTCAAAAAAAAAAAATTTTCTATTTGATGCGTAAATTTTCTACCTTTGATTTTTCCTACTGTCACTTATTAAGTTATAACATAATAAGAAATATTCAATAGACCACTTACCTGTTAGAACTTCAACCTGGAAGCAGAAGAGAAAGAAATACCAAAGGTCCGACTTCATCTTTGCCAAGAACAGATAGAATCCTCTTCTACAGAGCTGAAAAAAATAACAGCAAAATTCATGTTCCTAGATGTTTTCTACTTGCTGGAAAGGAAGTGGCTTTGTGGGGGTTGATGCAATGTCACACTTGCCATCAAGGCAAGGATGTGACTTTTTTTAAGTTTATCTTTATTGTTGAAAGTATTAAAATGCCCCCCCTCCTTCCCTCCAATGACCCCACCCCTCCTCCCCCACCCAGCTCCCTAGGCAAGGATGTGACTTTTAATTGATGGCAGTGGCTGTAGGAGAGGAATTATTGCTACTGGGAACTAAGCGTAACTCATGGATTATTTAGGATTTTGACGACACAGGAAAAGTCTACCCTCATTGTGGTTCCAATAAAACAAGTGACAGAGACAATGCCTATTCTTTTCAGAACCACCCTACTTTTCTGAAAATTAGTTATTGGAATAGCAGAATCTAAAAATAGCCACATGATGCATAACATATTTTGACACATTTCTGTCTTCTGTTTGCCTGAGAGTTTGAAATAGGACAAGAAATAAATGATATTACAGAAATTGCAATGAAGATATCTGAAAGAAGAGTAACCTAGTAAGCTGAGAAACAATATTTACATGGCATTCACTGTTAATTGTCGTTTTCCAAGTGATGGAGTCAGTTTTAATCCAACATAAGCCCTGCTCTGCATTTTACAAAGGAGTCTGTAGAAACCAGAGACTCCACATTTACAACCTCAGATGAAAGCAAGAAAATGGAAAAGCCTACCCACGATTTCTCTGTCCCTGTAGGGAGATAGCGTAAACAATAACAGCAGCAATAATAATATAAATAAGAGTATTTATATGTACACAAATGTTTTATGTGGAAGAACACATGTTAATACAAAACATGTATAAAATTAAGTACAAATAGAATAGAATATATTTAACATGCATAACATGTAATATAAATATAGCTAATATTTGTACATTGTCTCACAAGTATTTCAGTGAATTCGTTGTGTGTGTATATATATATATTATGCTTTATACATCTATTAATCTATTTAATCCTCTTAACCATCCTATGAAATGGGAACTACTAATCACCCATTTTACAGATAAGGAAAACTGGGGCACAAGAGTGTCAAGTCCCTGGCCTACCTTGTATGATTAGTAAGAGGCAGGGCTGGGATATGAGGAGCCACCGGCTCCAGGGTCACTGTCTCCGGAGTCCTCCGTCTTAACCACGCAGGTGGAACCGTTAGTGCCAAGGCTTCTGCGAATACCACCCAGCGTCTCAACCAGCTTCCAGGAGGTTGAATCCATGCTGGGTTTCTGAGAAGTGACCAGGCAGAACCAACTCTCAGCCTGCAGAGGTGACATCCAGGTAAAGTTGGAATCAGTTGGGCAGGGCAGCCGAGGTGTCAGTCTAAAAAGTCCAGACGTTAAAGTAGAACCCAGGTTTGGTGCTATCGAGGAGTCATTAGGGATACTGGACCAGAGCCAAGGGGCTCCAGAGGCAAAGTAGGGGGCTGATTCTGCAGTGATTTCCCTAAGCTGCTGCTGCTGTTTTCCCAGGCACAATTTTTAGGGCTCCCGGGCCTCAGGAGTGGGTGTGAAAGAAGCGATGTGAGAGACTGAGCTGGCCTGAACAGTAAAGATTGGACCCCCAGGCCCCCGAGGAACCTGCTACCCTAATTCCTCCCTTTCTCTTCCACTGTACCCTGGGCAGCATCAAGAGGAAATGCCTCCAGATGCATGGTCATTGCATTGGAGTCTTTTTCCAGCAAAGACACAGGCAGCGAAGGAGAACTGACTTTTTCTAACCTTCTTGTGGTCGAGCTCTGGAACTAAGTACAGTATGGAGGGCTTTTACTTTATTTGATAAAAGCTGCCACAGATCTAGAGTTCAGCTGTAGTTGTGCAGGGGAAATAAGGTGGACAGGGAGTAATGAACATTTATTGAGCACATGCTATGTGTCAGACACCGTGCCTCACATAACGACCTCATTTAGTTCTCACCGCTGTAAGCTAGGTCCCATTATTAGTCCCATTTTAGAGGTGAGGAAACTGATAGAGAAATTAAGTAACTTGCCTCGGATCACACAGTCGATAAGTGATTGAAACACGCACCTCAGTCCCAGATAAGGAAACTTTGAATTCCACACTTAATTACCACACTATACTCTCACGTTAGTCTTCATTTATCTAGCCAGAAATTACTGGTAACATGATTTTTTTTTTTGGCCTCATATTTTGATGGAAGAAGGGTACTTTTAGGTCCTAGACAAAGTTCCAAAATATTTGAACGCAAGAGGTTTCCTAACAAAATTTAGGTGTGGCATTTCTATCTCAAGAGGAGAAAATTACACAACAATAAACACAATTACTTACGGTTTTAAATATTCAGAACTACTTTTCGTGTGCCTGCAAAATAAAATGGGCAAAAAATTTCCATTCACCGCACAGGAAGCACTCTCGGTTGCTCTTATGTTATTTTTTTTTTTATTATTCCATGACTTAAGAAGGTTTTGATTTGTGTGTGCAGATGCCTGGGGCAAAGGTGGGGAATGGAAAATCTGTTACATTAAAAGTAGAATGTTTATTATGACTTATCTTGTGGGCACCAGAGTTCAAGATAGTGTGTGCTTGCTTTTCTGAAGTTTCACTGGTAAATATCTTTCTTTTGCTCTGCTTGAAACTCACGGAGAGCAACATCTACATGTGTAGGGGACCCACACACGGAGGCCATTGAATCCAAACAATGGGTTAAAAAGCAGCCCAAAGCACCTGTGTGTCACCTGAACTTGGCTTGCCTTTTTGAGATAGAAAAGTCTGGAAAGAGAGGGTTCTTCCTCATCAAAATTGCTGCTCTTCACTCATCCCCTTGATTGTTGAGTGGCAACACCAGCCAGACACTTAGCCAGGAATCTGTGTGTCAGCCCTCTCCACTCTCCACTAATCTATGCCTATAAAAGGCTAATTTGCAAAGTGTCTCCTCAGGGGTTCTACTGGGAGACCAGGAGCTTGATCGCTCACTATGACATGCACTGACCACCAGGGGGCAGTGCAGAATGAATGGAGGCCCTGGCTGAGCAACTGGAAGGCCCTGATCACCGGCCAGGCCTAGGGACCCTCCCTGTTCATGAATTTCATGCACCGGGCCTCTAGTTTACCAATAAGCCCCATTCTTCTATTTTCTTCTGTCTACTATGTGTTTTTCTCTCTCTTGCCAGGGTCACTGCCTTAGATCAGGCCTCCAGCATGTCTCTCCTGGTCTTTCTGTCCCCACTCTTGTTCCATTTCAATCCACCTCCACACCAACCAGAGAAAGTAATCTTTGTAAAATGTAAATCTAACTCATCTGTGCTTCCCTGCTTAGCATCCTGTCAGTCTAAGGAAAGGCCCAATCTCCTCATAGGACCCTTTATGATAGGCCTCCTGCTCAGCCTCCTCTCCTGACACATTTGTTCCTTCTTCCTCCTGCACTGACAGTGCCAGAACTATTGAATGATGCTGCCTTCTCCACATTCCCGAGCTAAGGCCTCCCCCACCTGCCAGGAGCTCTCTTCTTGCCCCAACTGCCCCTCCTCACCAGCCCAGCTTCTTTTCTTCTGCAGAAATCCTACCATTCTTCAGATCTTTGCTTACATGCCCATCAATTCATCAAAAAAGCCTTTTCTGATCCATTCGTTTCACTTCCAACCACTTCCATAACTAGTGTCCATTAGGTAATTTTTCTGCATCCTCCTAAAGCCCCTCTGTGTCGCCCATTCTAGAACTCATCATGCTACTGTAAAGGCCTGTTTGCTTTCTTACAGCCCCTACTGTGAGCAGCATCAGAACAAAGACCAAAGATGCCTTCTTTGCAGCCATATCTGCAATGCCCAACACAGGGCCCGGGGCATAGCAGATGCTCCCTAGCTGTCTCAACTGAATGAGTATTTGAAGAATTTTTGACGTTTGAAGGAACTATTGCCAACTAACACTTTGCTCTTTGAATCATAATGCAAAATGTGAGGGCAGAAAATTATCAAGATGTTTTTGTATTTCACATTGAAATTAATCCAACAAATATAAAAAATAATCATCCTCAAAAAAAAATCATCCTCATTTAGCTCTTATCTGATCATTTGTCCATCCAAGTCATCAAACAAAAGAACCTCCTATTTTAACAGCCAAATCATATTTTCTCATTTAAAAGTTATTAATTAGCCCCATAAAGCTCAGAAAACCAATTGCACATTTCCACAAATAATAAATAAATCTCAGTGTAAGATACGACTATGACGTGATATGACTGATACTTTTAATATAAATATCCATCTTAGTCACTTTGGCAGCAAAGCTTTCATTCTGATGATGGTGCCATCCCTCAAACCATTATAAAACACCCCTGGACCCCATTCCCTCAGTCCTGTCTTTCGGTCCTGAACTGCCTTCTTAGCTCCTTCCCCCCTTCATTTATAAATCCTCTAATGATATGATTTATCTAATCATTAACACCTACAAGCACATTTCCTCAGATACTATAACCCCTGTCACAGACATTTCTCTCTTCTTTCTTAATAAAGACAAGTCCACACTCAGTCTCTGCCCCTCAGTGCTTCCTAGATGCTCCTCAACTCACTGTAGATGGGTTTCTGACTCTAACATTCTACTGAAACTGTTTTCCCAAAGCCCACTCATGGATTCCACATTGCCAACTCCAACCAACACTCTCTATCCTTCCCTTCCTTCACCTCTGTGAATCACTTGATGCTATACTCACTTTACGTTGATGTTATACTTTATCTTGAAACAGTGCCACCCATTCCTGACTGAGTTACCAGAACGAAGGACCATTCTGCTTATTTTAGGTTGCTTTGTATACCTCTACTCTGATTTATTCTACGTTAAATTTAAAATCTATACTCTCAGAAGAAAAATCTTTATCTTCTTAATTTCAAACAACACTTCATTGAAGCTACTCTGTGGTCCCCATGTATGATCAGAATCATTGCTCTCTTCTTTTTA